GGAAAAATGAATAGACCTCAGTTTATAAAAGAGGTTTAGTGTTTGCAATAAAGGATGCCCATAGTTATACTTGATACGCTACATCTCCTAATATTACAATACATAAAATACCTTATTTAAGAAATTTAAATTCCCTGTCAGTAAAAACTCCATCTTCAATCCCATCAAATAACAAATGATGAGAAGTAAAGATGAGAACCTAAAAATAAATGATACTTTTAAAAAATCTGTCAACAATCAAATGTAGTTTACTAATTAACTTGTTATAACAAAGACAACGGATTTTAAGGTAAAAAATAAATTTAAAACGTTTCTTTAGATGAGACATCAGAACCTGAATCATGCTATATAGATACATCTCTGCCTGAAGTACCCACCAACAGTCTCTACGAGGACAACATCGTGGCCTGCAGCCTCGCAGAGCATAACAGACTCCTGCGTAGCTCTAGCTACCCCACCCAGATGACCAGCACTAGGGGATGGCCGAATAAAGGCTTGAGAATCGACAGAGAGGCGAGGCATTCGTGTTTTGTCAGCCAAGAGACTGCCGCGAGTCGAACTGCTAGATGGATCTACAGCCAACACGGCGAGTCGATGTTTGGGTAGCTTGGGAGGGGGGCTGGAAGGTAGCTGCTGCTCCGCTGCGGAGGGAAAGGATAGACAAAATAGACGCTTTAACTCCTCATTTGTGAATTGTCGAATGCAAAAAAGTAAAGGAAAGGTTAAAAAAAACAAATATAAGTCTCGATTTTTAAATATAAAATCTTAGAAGCTGAACCACTTGGACACAATCTGCTTCCAGTAGACTACATTCAGCCATCATTAATATTTTATAATGGGTTGGTTTGACCACGTTTTCGCTACTTATGCAGAGCAACAGTGAGGTCTTGAGGAACGTACCTTGTCCCGCGTCCTCTGCGATAACATTCATGATGAAGATGATTATGCTTCACTAATAAATCCACTTGAAGCGACAACTACTTCGGCAACATTGGTAGATTGTTGAAGGGGCTTTAATTTCGTATGAAAGTGCATGAAGAAGAGATTTGTAGGTCGATCACACCAGAAAAGGACTGATGAGGCCCGTTGGACTACAGCCTTTTGGCTTTTTAACGATTTTCAGGTTGAAGCAGTCCACGAGACTTCCGTCGTTTCGGGTGAAAAAGGGATTGTGTCAACCTGAACATCGTAGAAAAGCCAAACGGCTAAAGTACAACGGGACTCAACCGTCCGCTTCTCGTGAGATCGATCTACGAATCTCTTCTTCATGCACTTTCATACAAAATGAAAATACCCCAGCAATCTAAACAGAGTTATTCTCCGTATCAACATTGGTAGAAACCAAAACACATAATGGTCTGAACAGATACATTGAGAGAAAGAGAAGCGAGACTAGAAAGGACAAAAAGGAAGTGAAGGGTCTTGCCACAAAGGTTGAACA